TGGTGTGCTTTGAGTGTTACAGTATTTTTGAGTACCAGATAACAATCGCCAATCCAAAGGAAAGAAAAATGGGGGTTTCCATCCTACTTTTGAATAATTTTTCGATTTATTTAGTCAAATCAAGAAATATATTTAATATTAAAAAAAAATGTTTTCTTTACCTTTTATTCTATTAAAACCCTTTTTGTATAAGTATAGATACATAGATATAAAGGTAAGTAATAAAACCAGGGACCAGGATTAAATTAAATCATCAAGGTTAAATAGCTATGGTCTATAAAGTAGGTATTTCTCTCTAGATAAGTTAAACTTTACTGCTCACCTAAGGTTTCAATCACAATTATTGTGATTATAATTATGTATAACTTGAGTGATAAATATATTATACATATAAGTAATTCTTTAGTAAATACGACCAATAAATAATTTAAGAAATTAAAAACTCAAGGCGACATTTTAACAAAATATTTTATATAACCCTGTCAACATATTATTAATTATTATTAATGTATATTATTTGATATTACCTAAGGGGACGTCTATTAATTACATGAGGCATTTTTCTGATAATTTAGACCCCTCACATGAGATCTAGTCTGTGGATTCTAGCCATTATCTTTCATTGCAGTCAACATTATAAACCCAAAAATTGGAATATAATACATTTTTTGAACCTAAAACATGACGTGAGATTTTAAATGACCCCTTAACATGAGATTTGGTGAGACCCCCCCCCTATTTTTATCTCACGTAATTAATGGATGTCCCCTAATACCAGTGTTGTAACGTATCTAGTTACAAGTAACTAGATACAGTATCTAGATACTTTTTATGTATCTGTTTGTGTAACTAGTTACTTATCCCAATCTAGTAACTATAACTGTAACTAGTTACAAATTCTAAGTAACTAGGTGTGTTAAGATACAAAGATACATTTTTAATTAAACTGCGACTATTATTTATTAAAAAAAAAATATTATAAAAAATAAGTTATTTTAAATAAAATATTATAAAAAAAATAAAAATAATAAACATGTATATTTTTGTTGTCACTTTAAAATTCCCTATTTTAAATTTTTTAAAGCAAAAAATAATTTGTATGTATCTTAAAGTATCTAGATACTTTTTGAAGGTAACTGTATCTGTAACTAGTTACTGCAATAAAATATGTATCTGTATCTGTATCTAGTTACAAATTTTGGTAAGTAACTGTAACTGTAGCTAGATACTGAAAATATTGTAACTGTTACAACACTGCCTAATACATATGTATGTATGTATATTAGGTAATATATATATTAGTCAATATGTTTTTTTTAATGTATACCTATTATATATTAATAATAATTATATTTATCTGCTCCTATTGCATAATATTGATGTTTTTCGTAAATAATGAACTCAATATTCACGTTGTTGGGCGTCAATGATTGGCCGATTTCATTCACTGTGATTTGAACCAATCGGGTTTTAAATTGGGAGAAGGCCACTATATTAACATTTAAAATTGGTAAAAAGTGAGGTTAATCAATTAATAGATGTCGGATTTTATTTATTTTTGAAAATCATTTAATTATCTACTTATTGGAGTAGATAAAGAATAGTATTACACTCGAGATTATGCGCATTATCTCTCATATAATAATATAATATTGTGGGAATTTTATAATTCAACATAAAGTTCATTTTTTTTAATCTGGACTGCGGCAACGTTGCAAATTTAGGGTTTTGGTTGGTAAATACAGTTATCAAGTTGGTCGCATTGATTAAAACAAACTAAGCTAGTTATAAATCTAATTGTAGTAATTTGGCTTTGGTGGTGCTTGGATGAGTAAAATCATATAAAAAAGTAGTTAAATATAGGTTGCTTTACGGCCAGAAGAGAAAGTATTCCTAGCGGATAATAATCTTCGCTTTGAAAAGAATTTATATAAAAGAAATTAAAATTTTTTGTGTTCGTAAATGTTGCCCAATGGTGAATAAATGTGAAAATAATGTGATGTAATATTTATAAAACCAAATTCGTTACTTTTTTACTCCAAAAATGTCCATAAGGCGATGTACTTTTTCTTCCATTGTGGCATTTGGAATAATTTCATCAGAATGAAGTTTTGCCCTCAAAAGGGCTTTTACATTCGTTGCTATTATTTTTGGCATAATTATCTTTTTATTTATAATTGACAAGTAAATTATCAATAGTTAATATTATTGTCAATTTGACTATTTAATTAATTTCTTTAGCAGAAGTACCATATTTAAATACTAAAAATACTAAGTCAAACTGGCATAAGCCACCAACCTAACAAAAAAACATGAAAAAAATGAACTGTATATGTTTATATTTCTTATACCTACAGAATGAGTGGAGGAAAGTGAATAATTTTAAGGGTAATACACAATATACATTTTTTTTAATTTCAAGCAATGAAAAAAAACTTAAATATTGTTTTCCGATTTTTTAATGTTTTCGGATACAATTGTATCCGAAAACATTAAAAAATCTAAAAACCTTAAGGTTTTAAAATTTCATCTGTCATCTTGATACCTGTTAAAGTGTTGCTTGATATTGTAAAAAAACAATAATTAAAATATCAAGCAACTTTTTGACAGGTATGAAGATAACATGAAATTTTAAAACCTTGTAAACATTAAAAAATCGGAAAACAATATTTAAGTTTTTTTTCATTGTTTTTATGCTTGAAACAAAAAAAAAATATTTATTGAAGAAAGTTTGACGATCTAATCAAGACTGCTTACAAAAATGGATGAAATTATAGAAAACTGAACAACATGGATTTTTATATCTTAACGGATATACCATGATAGTTTACTATTTATTATTATTTAATATGTAGGTATTTCCTTTAAGAATATCAGGTCGCTGTACTGGGTGCAGGGTCAGCGTCCGTAACACGCGGCAGCGCGATATACCGATCGGTATAACGCTCGGGGATAAATAAATTCATATTGCTAATAGCGGGCAGTGGAATTTTCTTACAGAATATTTATCTAAAGTGTACAATGCATGTAATTGTACAAAAACAAATTTTTAATTTGTGGGAGAAGTCATTAGAATTTTCATTTGTTTATTTAAAAAATAATTAAAAATATGATAATAAATAAATAATTTAAAATTTTTAATTGTTTTTCAAAATGTGAATATTAAACAATAAATCCTGAAAATTTCATTAAAATATCTCTAACGGTTTTTCGGTCATCTATTTTTTAATTAAAAGTCTCCAAAATTTTCATTGTAAAAAAAAATGAAAATTTTTAAAAACCGTTTTAGGGTTTCATTAATGATGGTGACTGCTTTATATTAAAATTTATTAATTTGAATTCCACGATCAAGGTGATCTTACTCTAGATATATATTTTAAGAGAACAATACCTAATTAGAATATTGTGTAAATTATTGTACCTATTATAGGAATTTTTTTGAAAACCTTGTATTCGAAAACAATAAAATCGGATAACAAAATTTTTTCATTGTTTTATGCGTATATATTTTTCACTTTTCTCTCGACCCCTTGGTTAAAAGAAATTAACTTAATATATTTTTAAATCTTTCCTTCTTTTAAAAAGCAATATTGCCATTTGGCCTTTTAAAATATATAAAACCGTGTTGCTCAAAATCTTAAAGGTGGATTATGTTAAAACTACTTAATAGGTAGGTAATCAATTTTTCTTAGTTCTGCTTCTAAAAATATATTTATGTGCGTTGCTGGAAATTGTTTACGTACATTTAAAAAAAAATATTGCTTTGGCTGTACCGATCTGCCGGGTTACAAGAAGTAATATTTTAAAAATGTTTCTTTTTCAAAAGAATTCTTAAGTTATTTTGATTCTAAAAACATTTAAAACTGTGGCCTTAATAATACATTTAAATTTATCGCTTTGGCCGTACCGATCAACCTAGTTACACGAATTTACTAAATACGTAAATATTTTTGATTTTTCTTTGATTCTAAAAACATAAAATCGTGTAAAAAATATATATTTGAAAATACCAATTTGCGTTGGCGGCAATTTAGTTTAGCCTATAGGGGCACATTTGTAAATACGCCTCTTGATATCCATATTATGGTAACTCAAAATGAAGTAGCGAAGAAATTGAAAGAAAATGTAGATTAATGTGTATGGATACATCTGTATACAGGTTAAACCTACGTTATTTTTAATTTCCAGGGATAACAAATTTGTAACGATTTTTGGTTTTACAAGGTTTTTAGTTTTACTATAGGAAGAGGGAAACGTTTGTTTACTGGTATCATTGATTATAAGGTTCTCCATCACTCAACGCTAGTTTAACGTGATTATTTTAAAAAGTTTTTCAATGAGTTTTTTTAGACCCTTGTGAAAATATTTCTCTAAAAAAAATTTAATAAGTAAAAAATAAGAGTTTTGAAAGTCTTCCTTTCTCTTAAAAACTCAGAATATGCCGTTTTTATTTTTGTTTGTCTTTTAGACTATACTTTTTTTACGTTTCTAAAATATACCACAGAGAAATAGTTTAACTGGGAGAAAGTGAGGTTGGATCGGTCTAAGTTGTTAAAAAATAAACACAAAGATGGCGCCACCAGTGTTTATTCCGTCATCCGATCATAGAATTAATTCATTCTGTAACACTAAGTAATATACAGTGAGGACGCGTGGGTTGGAACAAATTCATTTAAAATTCAGGGATTTGTTTTTTGAAAAAACGCTCAGATACGTCGATTTTTATTTTTAGATGCGGTTTTTTTAATAGTAAACTCACTTATACAGGATTACCCAAAAATAAGTTACAACCATCACCTTCATTTTTTTAAATGGAAACCCCTATTTTTTATTTTATTTTTAACTTAGACCGATCCAACCTCACTTTCTCCCAGTTAAATTATTTCTCTGTGGTATATTTTAGAAACGTAAAAAAAGTATAGTCTAAAAGTCAAACAAAAATAAAAACGGCAAAATCGCCTTCGGCTCATGTGTCGAAACTGGGGCTGTATTTAAGTAATAAAGAAATTTTAACTTACAATCTGATTTATTTATACACATAAAACAATAATATTAAACATTTTTATAAAAAATTATAAATAATAAAACACATTTACAAATCACCACATGAAACAAAAAAATGTTCAACTCATAATGTAAAATTCGTCCTTTCTTCGAACGTTGTTGCCACTTCGGTTGTTTCTGTGGCGGCATTTGTAGGCTGTTCTAAATCCATGGCCATCTTCTCGCTGGCGTCTTCGGTGTTAAAATGCCGATCTAGAGCGTCGTTTGTTAAATCGGCCAAATTTTGATCGAAATCTTCTGTTAGGTTTTCTGTCATTTCTATGTTTTCTGTGAAATCTAGTTGGATATCATCGATTGAAGATTGTGGTGTGACTTTTTCCGCAATATTTTCGATTTTATCTTTATCTTTATTTTTATCAATTTCTTTTTTATCGCCAACATTATCTTCATTTTCATCCATTTTCTCGACGTTTGAATGGTCGTTTTTGTCATCAATTTTGGCTGTTTCTTCTTTTTCTGGACTTTGAGGTCGCTCTGCAACTGTTTTTTCTTCAGTAGTTGCATTATTTTGTCCTACATCTTTACTTGTGTTACCTAAGGTGTCTACATTTTCTACTGGATCTTCTAAACTATCTACTTTAGTTTCTTTACTGTTAGCTTTTTTAACTTCTTCGGGATTCTCCGTGGTTTCTTCTGTAGTGATTTTGGTGGTTTCTTCTGTGGTGGTTTTGGTGGAGTCTTCTACATTTTCAGTAGTTTTTTTTATGGTTTCTTCTATAGAATTTTCATTAATACTTTGTACGTTTGTGATTGTTAAACCAATCTCATTTTCACTCTCTTCCACACACGAAAGTGGGTCTTCATTTTGGCTTCTTGCGATTTTTTTGGCTATATTTAATATAGGACTGTCATAGTTACCAATAATTGCTTCCTCCTCTTCATTCTCACTGAACCCAACATTGTTATCTTGAATTTCGATGACGTCATTATCAAAATCCATTGGTTCAGTTTTGATGTCAACTATGCCCAAAAATGGGTCTTCCACGTTAATATGTGGTTGGCGTTCGATGACAGAGGCGTCATTTTTGTTTAAATCTTCCTCCTCAAGGCCATCATAGTATTTTGGAACTTTGACGTTAGGTCGCGATCTTGTGCCTTTTCTTGTTTGGAAAACTGGGGGAGGACTCTAAAATTGAAAAAATTGCAGTATATTGAATTTAAGTAATAAAAACAACAATAACAATGAAAATGATCTTTTGTCCTCAACGAGGGGTCACCCACACCTGGGAATCCCTGGACATTTTAGAGGGGGAATACCATAGGAATACAATGGAAATACATAGGAATACAATAAAATATAATAGGAATACATGGGAATCCCTGGACGTTTTCCCTTTGGGTGGATGACCCCTCGGTCCTCAATAACTTAAATTGGATATACTGCATTATAGATTGACGTATGAAGACCGAGAAAATATATATTTTTGAATTATGTTTTATGGAATAGACTGTTAACGTAAGTTGTTGGATAGAAAATAAAATTTACTAAAAAATGAATACCAAGTTAAAGCGAAAAAAATCTTTTTCTATGATATAATATATTTTGTTAATTTCTATGCTAACAGAAGAAACTATAGCATGTTATACATTATTTTAGAGCATTTTTAATTCTCTATAATAATCTAAAATAAAAACCATGTAATTAATTGTTCTACGGAATTGACTGTACGGATGGCATACTGGGATGAAGAATAAAATTCCTTGAAAAATAAATACCAACACGATCCACTTTAGGAAAAAAAAACTAGTTAGTATAACAACACTTTTTCATGGCCCACTTTGGTAAAAATGTATTTTTTAATTTTCTAGGCTAATAAAAAAACAAACCCAGACATGTCATACATCATTTTAAAGAATTTTCAACCCTCTACAAGAATTTACAACCAATTTTTTCAAAGAGCTTAAATATTTTAATTTAAATGTTCTTATCAAAAATATATATACTACTTAAAACGTAAGTTTCCAAAGGTGTCAATTAAAATTGTAAATTTAGGGCGTGCTAAAGCGTATACCGAGAAAGCAGAGATTTTCAAATTTGAATGAATTTCAAATAATTATTACGGAGTGAATTTGAGAATAATTAATAAACATACCTCTACGCGTATCTCAGTGTATTTCCTTTTCTTCAGTTTTTTCCGTACTGGTATGTTTTGGTATTTTTCCCGTGTTCTGTTAGGTGTTGGTCGTTCTTCTTTAGCGGGCTCTTCATAAACAGGTTCTAGAAGATCCAGTGGATCTAAAATATCTTCGTTATGGCAGCTGTTTCTTCTGGTTCTGTAGTGGGTTCTGGTTTCCATTTGGGGTGTTTTGTTTTGTACCTTTTTGTCTTCTTTTTTAATCTCACTTTGTTTTTTCTCCTCTTTTTTCCTATCTTTTTCTGGTTCTTCATAGGTTTTTATGGATTCTTTAGTGTCCACTTTGCTGCCTTCGTTTGAATTTGTACCTGCTAGTCCTTTAATCTAAGAAAAAATTATCAAAAAAATTTAAAGAAATAAAACAAAATTTCTACCTTAAGAATTTCCGCCACATTCAGTAAATCCTGCAACTTGTTTTGGAATATATGTACTTCCCCGGCATACATAAAATCCAGCAGACATTTTAAAATCCAGAAGGGGATATCCTTCATAAACAATACTGGGTGTTGCATAGGGCTAATCCCAGCCAAAACTTCTTCAAAATATGGGCTACAAGATGATAATATCATCCTATGACATTTCAAGGTTCTCCCTTCCGCTACTATAGTGACATCTACGTATTGTTCTCGCAACAATAATGTAGGAAAAGTATTTTGCATGTTAACATGATGGCTATTCCATCTTAAACACACCTCTTCATTCACTGGTGGCGGTGTTGGTGACTTTTGAGCTGTCTGGGGATTTTTTTGCCTAGTAACTTTCAGTTTTGTTGGCGACAATGGTTGAGATGATAACATGGAGTCTTGATTTTCACCAGGGACTTTTAGTCGTTGCTCTAACGGCATAGCATCTATAAAAGAATATTAAGAGACATTAAATTTTGTTTTTCCACCACACTCTTTTGAGGGCGTTATTGTTTTAATTTTAAAAAATGGGATGGATATTTTTTGTTATATTGGGGTTTTTTCACATTAGTGGTCCATTAGAAGTGTCTGGGGAACGGAAATACATATCGATTTGAAATTTTAAATGCGTTTATGATCCATTTAAGTCTATTTTTCAAAAATAAAAACAAAATGCCACTTCCGGTTTAACCGAAAGTGACATTAACTTTGTTATTTCAAACACAACACCCCATATATTTTTACATTTTTAAATTCTACATAAAATTTTAAGTCAAATTACTATACCAAATTCTATACCTAAAGTAAATAGTTTTCTAGTTATTATTTTTTTTCGTTAAAATTTGACAAATGCGCGTTAATCAAAAATAGCCTATAACTTTTTTGTTTGCAGATATGATGGTGGAATTTTTGGAATCTTAACATTTGTCAACAAATTACCTGAGAAAACCTGAAATGATAATATTTTTTTTATTTTAAATGTAACACCTGGGATGTTTTTACATAATTAAGTAAATAGTAGGTAAATTAAAAAACTTTTCGATTGACGTAACTATTCCCTTTACTTAAAGATAATAATTTAAGCGATATTTAACAATTTTCAAAATTTTAAATATTATTTTGTATCAAGAAACCTGTCACCAGTCGAGTTGACAGTATCTATGGTTACCACGTAATCTGTCATTTTTCAAAATTTGGCGTCAATTTTTCAGGTTGTTATAAACAATTTGTTGACTAGTTAAGTGTTTTGTAAATAAAATTACTGATAAAAAATAGCAGTCAGAGACTTATAAAAAACATTGACAAGCCTAACAAACAGTATTTGCTAATTTTGAAAAAAAATCAAAGCTTTAGGATGTCAACTAGATAAAGCATTAGCTTATTGCAGACAATAAAATATAAAAAATATATATACACCGAAAAAAATCTAACATAGTACCAAGAACAGCGCTGTCATTGAATGCATTAAAATTGAAGCAATCGAAATTGTTATTTGCTCAATTAATTACTATTAAACCAAAATAGGGAAATATTTTGCCTAAATGTCAAAGAATTTATTCCGTTAAATGTATACATAGTATACATACTATAGTAACGTTATTAAATAAATCAAATTAGTATTTAATGCAATAACATTCTAACATTCTAACAAATAAATATCAATATAAATATCAATAGATTTAGAAGCGATAACTTTTGTTGTTAATTTAAAAACAGTAAACGATTATAAACCAAGTGCTAACTACCTATTGGTATTATAGGAACTGTTATTCAGGAATACGGATTACAAGATCCCATTGGTTTAATGGCTCACCCATTCATGATATGCTAGCGTTTTTTCTGTGTATAAAAGAATGCGTAACTGTAACAAATTAATAAAGCAAGAATATTTTAATTAACAAGTGATATTACTAATTTTTTAATATACTTTTGTTCAAAGCATTTCTTAATTCTTTACTATTCTGGGTCAAATATTAGAAATTGTTAAATATCTCTAACATTATTAAATTTGGGTATATATATTTATATATTAGGGTGGTCCTTAATAAGGTTATTTTCAAATTTCTTTGCTCCCAGGGGCTCAAATGCTTCCAAATTAATAAAAAAAAATTCCCTGAAAATTTGAGCTCTTAATATTAACTCTAAGATAGTACGCATTTCAATCTAAGTTTCCTATGAAAATAACATAGGAAAAATTACTTTTGTTGTTTATAATTTTTTAACTTGGGAACGAATAAATTAAAAATTATAAATCACACATATTTTTATAGAGAATTTAACGCTCTACAAAAAAGGTCTCTTATAATTTTTCCATTAGTCTATTTGTTTAAAAGTTATTCAACGTCAAAGTCTAATTTTCATATTATTATTAATATTATCAAGGCTTTTTTATGAGGCGCCGTTTGTGTCAAAATTAAAAGTGCTAAATAAACTTATTTTGTTTTATAAATAATTAATTATATGCTTTACCAAATAATTTTTTTATAAAATTATTTTTTTATAATTTTTTTTTTGTAAAAAATTTTATAAAATAATTTTTATAAAAATTTTTTTTTGTAAAAAATTTTATAAAATAATTTTTTTATAAAATTATTTTTTTATAAAATATTTTTTTTTTTAATAATTTTTTTATAAAATAATTCTTTTTTATAAAATTATTTTTTTATAAAATAATTTTCAATTCGAATCAAAAATTATTTAATAAAAGACCACGGGCGCATTTATAAATTAATTTTTACTGCAGCCATCTCTATTTGTTTGTAGACACTCGAGTAAACCCGAGTAAACCCGAACGCCCCTCCCCAGATACAATTTTATGACGGACTGGGCTTTTGTTTGACGCAATTTGGGGAAACGATTGAAAATTCGATTAAACTAACTATTCCCTATATATATATTAGGGTGGTCCTTAATAAGGTTATTTTCAAATTTCTTTGCTCCCAGGGGCTCAAATGCTTCCAAATTAATAAAAAAAAATTCCCTGAAAATTTGAGCTCTTAATATTAACTCTAAGATAGTGCGCATTTCAATCTAAGTTTCCTATGGAAATAACATAGGAAAAATTACTTTTGTTGTTTATAATTTTATAACTTGGGAACGAATAAATTAAAAATTATAAATCATACATATTTTTATAGAGAATTTAACGCTCTACAAAAAAGGTCTCCTATAATTTTTCCATTAGTCTATTGGTTTAAAAGTTATTCAACGCCAAAATTTAATTTTCATATTATTATTAATATTATCAAGGCTTTTTGATGAGGCGCCGTTTGTGTCAAAATTAAAAGTGCTAAATAAACTTATTTTGTTTTATAAATAATTAATTATATGCTTTACCAAATAATTTTTTTATAAAATTATTTTTTTATAAAATAATTTTTTTTTTAATTATTTTTTTATAAAATAATTCTTTTTTATAAAATTATTTTTTTTTGATTTTTAGTTTTGTTTTAAGAGAATTGATTTATTTATTTTAATTTGTTTTAAAGAGAATTATTTTATTTATTTATTTTAGTTTTTAACAAGTGCTTTCTTATAAAAAACGTTTAAACATAAAGAATTCTTGTTAAAAACTAAAAATCAAAATAAATGTAGATAAAAAAATTAATGAATTCATGAATAAAAATAATAAATTATTATTTTCAATCGTTTCCCCAAATTGCGTCAAACAAAAGCCCAGTCCGTCATAAAATTGTATCTGGGGAGGGGCGTTCGGGTTTCAGGGGCGTGCTGGGCCGCCGGGACACCGGGCGAATGCCCGGTGGCCTGCGCTACCATGGTGGTCTGCTGGACTTGTTATGGTATGCAAATAGAAAAAAGATTTTTATACCAAACAAAAAGTTTTTTCAAGTTATATCACTAAACACTAAAATAAATTAAAAAAAAAGAAAGTTTTAATTGACTCCCGTAAAAAAATCTAAAACACGTATTTTTTATACTAACCCTTAACCAAGAAGTCGCAGGTGGAAACCCTAAACCATGGGGATATTTTGGATGCTTTCGTAATTATTTTTCCGTTTCTTTGAAAATCCAAACTGATCCGGGGCCACTTCGATAAAATGTAATTTTAGTAAATTTATAAATTATCGTAAGGGGGGATCAGCTCGGATTTATAGATAACATAATTACAAAAGCATCCAAAAAAGCCCCCTCTCGCAGTTCTTGTCTTGATTTATTTGTGATACTTTCCTTTAATATTAGTGTGAAGTGACGTAAGTTTGGAAGCTTTTATGATGATTGCTGTGGAGATCTCGAGAAAGGTGCAAAATGGTTTAGATTGTGACTTAAGAATTGAACAAGCTGAAAACAGTTCTTTGTTGCGAAGAGAGTTAATCACGGGACGTTTTATCAGTCGAGGTATTTAATTGTGATGTATATTTACAATTTATATGAAATTGGCTTGGGCCTGGACTGCTCTATCATCTAGTCCAGGCCTGCATTGATTCAGCCAGCACGCCCCTGTCGGGTTTACTCGGGTTTACTCGAGTGTCTACAAACAAATAGAGATGGCTGCAGTAAAAATTAATTTATAAATGCGCCCGTGGTCTTTTATTAAATAATTTTTGATTCGAATTGAAAATTATTTTATAAAAAAATAATTTTATAAAAAAGAATTATTTTATAAAAAAATTATTAAAAAAAAAAATATTTTATAAAAAAATAATTTTATAAAAAAATTATTTTATAAAATTTTTTACAAAAAAAAATTTTTATAAAAATTATTTTATAAAATTTTTTACAAAAAAAAAAATTATAAAAAAATAATTTTATAAAAAAATTATTTGGTAAAGCATATAATTAATTATTTATAAAACAAAATAAGTTTATTTAGCACTTTTAATTTTGACACAAACGGCGCCTCATAAAAAAGCCTTGATAATATTAATAATAATATGAAAATTAGACTTTGACGTTGAATAACTTTTAAACAAATAGACTAATGGAAAAATTATAAGAGACCTTTTTTGTAGAGCGTTAAATTCTCTATAAAAATATGTGTGATTTATAATTTTTAATTTATTCGTTCCCAAGTTAAAAAATTATAAACAACAAAAGTAATTTTTCCTATGTTATTTTCATAGGAAACTTAGATTGAAATGCGTACTATCTTAGAGTTAATATTAAGAGCTCAAATTTTCAGGGAATTTTTTTTTATTAATTTGGAAGCATTTGAGCCCCTGGGAGCAAAGAAATTTGAAAATAACCTTATTAAGGACCACCCTAATATATATATAGGGAATAGTTAGTTTAATCGAACTGTTTTTTAAATTTCTATTTGATTAGGTAAATACATACTGGTTGTTACATTTAAAATAAAAAGTTATCCTAATTTGGCATGGTTTTTCTCAAGTAATTTGATGAAATTTGTTAAAGAATTGACATAAAATCTTTTAAACAATGTTTTAAGATTCCAAAAATTCCACCCCCTTATCGGCAAACATAAAAACGACAAAGTTATACGCTATTTTTGATTGACGCGCATTTGTCAAATTTCAACGAAAAAAATTAATAAATTGAAAACTATTGAATTTAGGTATAGGACATGGTATAGTAATTTTACTCAGAATTTTAGGTTGATGTCACTTCCAGTCAAACCGGAAGTGGCATTTTGTTCAAAATATTTTAAAGAAATTTAAAATCGATATCTTTTGTCATTCCCCAGAAACTGTAAAAATGGCTATTTCAAGAACTTTTTGTGGAATATTTCTTTTATTTGAGGCTTTGTTTATTAGCTTTATTAGTCATTAGGCTCAAATAAAAATTTAACCAACCAAAATAATATAATTTATTTCTTAAATAGGTACCAAAACAAAAATCATAATTATTATTAAATATTACATATGTATATACAAATATATTTGATATTGACACAAATGGTTTATTTCTATTAGTTTTTAATTAACGCTATTACTAAACCTTTTTTTAAATTAAGGTTCTCAAAGACAAGCTGCCTATAAAAAACGCTAAAATTACAAAAAGGTTTGATTAAATAATATAAAATAAAAATATATCAATATCTTTTTGAAATATCGAAAAATATAATATGTACATATATCGATATTTTTATATCGAAATATTCTTAAATATATTGATGTATGATATATCCTATTATATATAATATATAATTGCCATCCCTAGGTATAGAAATTAACAATTGTTAGTGTCAAATCGGTAGTTTCTCTATTGTTTGAAAGGATTAGGTATTTTGTTAAAAAAAGGGCTACTTTTGAAAAAATATCTGGTAAATCTCAAAATGTATGTACATTTTATATTTAGTCTTTTCTGCCCCTAGGCAAAATTTATTTATTGTTTTTAAATAGTAAGTAAATTTATATAGTTTTTAATAAATTACAACAAAAAAAATTCTGCCCAAAAAGGCTGAAATCCAAAAATGCCCATAATACCTAAACTATCTAAACTACTACTCCTGTTCCTCCTTCTGCTTCTCCTTTTCATAGGCACATCAACTTTTTCAAAAATATCACTCTTCAATCGCCTCCATCTTCTTATATTTGACTCACAAATACCAAATCTTCTTTTTGCTTCGCTGTTTCCGCACACTTCTGCGTACTGAATGACGTTTTTCTTGAAGTCTGGCGCATACGATGCGCAGTGGCGCAGGCGCAACTTTGCCGACATTTTTTGCTGGGTTATTATGTTGTTTTTTTAAGGTCGGTATTGCACTGTGATTAAGGGTTTTCTAAAAAGGGCGCGCCCACTGTATATCACTTTGTAGGGGGCAGAGCTGGGAAAGATACTTTCTAAAAGTATTTAAATACTAGATACTAAATCCTTCAAAATTATTTTAAAAAAGATAAAAGATAACATATTTTCTAAAAATCCTAAAAGTATCTAAAGTATAAGATACTTTAAGTATTTAAGATATCTTTTAAGATAACAGATACTTTTAAAGGAACAGTAAATAAAAAAGCCAATTATGTATGATACCTACTTTAAAGTAGTTATTGTAGATTGTTAATATTATTAGGTACCTAATTATTAATTAGTAATTTATTTTTGTTTAGCATATATGAAGACAGGATTGACAATTTTGTAATAAAAAATAATACAATAATTTTAAAATACGTTTAATAAATATTTAGTTCAGGAAATAAAATAAATAAAACCATTTAATAATTTTTTTTAATTGTTAACAAAATAACATTAGTAGTTTTTCAGAGAATTTTAAATTTTTTTTAAATGGAATTTATATGTTTGGACCTGGTAATACTGCTTATGATTTATAAATAAAATAAAAACAACACTGTTTTTGAGATTTTCAATAGTATACAGTGTGGTTACCACTTATGGAATAAAATTCGTTATTTGATGATAAGATTTTTATGAAAAACGCTCAGACATGTAAACTTTAGTTTTTATTTCAAATCTTATAATTATAATTTTGTGACCCCCCACCACATTATGAACATTAATCTTAAATTACAACCTCACTTTATTTCATCAAAAATTGATATATACTTTTTCTATGATTGATAGTGCACATTTTTCTAGTACGTTGATACTTTATTTTAAATTAAAAATTGTTTTGCTATCACAGTAGCTTCTTCAGAATACATTTAAATTTATGAGAAACTACTAATCACAGTCTCTGCCTTCCCACTTCATGTTAATGAGGTAAGTATCTAAAATTCAAAAGTATTTTCTTAAGATACTTTAAGTATTTAAGATCATAACTGTAACTTTTATTGCTTTTATCTTAGATTCCCAGCTCTGGTAGGTGGTTTATTTTAACAAGCAGTTTTCTAAAAACATGGCAATGCTGTATATTAAACTTTAAATAATCATAAATTTCTTATTTATTTTTCAAACGTCATTAAAAATTGTGTGAGTTATACTTTTATAGGTACAAATATTAAAAGAAAATAAAATTCAATTCTTAAACCCTTATACTCGAAAACTATTTTTTATACTTAAATTACCCCTCCCGCAACGTCGTATACTGTAGGGGCGACATTTTCGGGAAACTCTGTATAGTTGGTTTGTGAGGTTTTATATTTAGTAAGTATATATACCCTATATGGTTTTTGGAAAATGAGATGAAACGGATATATCCAGTATTTCTTTTTTCTGGATCCAGTCTAAATTCAATTGAATCTGGCTTATAATTTATAGGTAGGTAGGTAGGTATACAATTTTAAGAAAAATTAAAGTATTGCCAAATTGATGATAGTTTTTTATCCGATTACATTTTACAATTGAATACAAATAAAATAAGTTAAATTTCTTAACTCATCACACCAAATATTTGGTTATCCAGCTTGAATGTTGTCAGATATGCTGTATCCAACCAAACAACTATTGGTTTTATATTAGTTTTATTGTGAGAAAAATTGTTTACATTTTGTTTTGTTATACATTTAAAATTGCATCAAAATTTAAAGAAAGTTGGACCATAAATGTTAAATCATAAGAATACCTAAACCATAGAAACATAAGGTTTTATAGAATGTTTAAAAAGAGATGAGATCCTTCATTATATCATAAAAATCATATTTTATAAAATTCTTTAAATTTTCTTAGTTTAATTAGGCTGTTACAAATTTTATTTTTTGTGATAGGTATCTGCATTTGAACTCGACACCTGCAGATGTTAAAAAGGGTAGAATTGTTTTTGAATTTAAATCATACAAAAAGCATAATTTTGAAAAGAGTTTAAAGCTTACCTGATCCTTCGAACTGTTTTATTTTTTGTTCAGTATCAGCATATAAAAATATGGAATACTCTTCAGGATGAATTGATTTTAGATGACTTTTTAGTGATGTGGTTGTCCTGCCTTTTCGAGAGTACAACTTTTTACAAATATTACACATAGCACTGTCTTGATCAATTGATGTGAAGTAATGCCAAATGAAGCTTTTGGTTAGTGGAGGCATTGTAAAGTAGTCGAGCAAATAATGAAAATTTAAAGTGCAAAATTACAGCATACTCGCGCTTCTTAAAAAAACCTTCTTTATATGGTGAAAACTATATACATACTGAATAAGAAAGCGCGACGAGTAAACCGGAATTTGCAAAATCCGCATTGAAAGGTTGCGGATGCAGATGTTTCCTGAATGCGGAAACGGATGCACACGTCTGTAACACCACTGATTTTGATAAGAAATTAAACACAACTCAAAAAGTTTATCATAATATTAACATTTTTAAATATATAAAATTTGTAAAAATCAAGAAAGCCGATTGTTAACATAAACAACAAAACAAACGCGAATTTCGCGAAACGTCAAAACAACAATGCCGCCCTGGCGGCGCAAACACGAACTAAATCAATCAGAGAACCCAAAAAGTCCAAAATTATTGTTAATAACATTGTTATATTACCTATGGGGTCCGAATCTTGGTCCCGCAACATGTACATGCATTTTTTCCACTTGTTTTTAATCTCCTGTAGAGTTCTTTTCTCAATCGACACTTTATTGACTTTTTGGAGAACATCTAGCCAAGCTCTATGCCTTGCGCCTTTGTTTATCGCCTTTTTGGAGAATTGTCCGTATAAAATCCGATAGTGTTTTTTTACGCCACCCACCAGAGTCTCTACTTCTTCAGCCGTGAAATTTTGTTTTCTTTTTTGCTTAAAGTCCGCCATTTTTGTCAACAAATACACCCAAAAACAAAACTTTGTCTTTTACATTTTCAAACTATTATATCATCGAATACAGCAAACTAATAACATTAATTAAATAGTAGAAATAAACAAACACAATAACCATAGACGGCTTTGACAGGTGTATCTTTGCATAGGCCACTTGACTTTTCTCACAAACAGTGGCACAAAAAATTTTGACGTAGTAAAAAATATAGATTAAAAACAAAATGTAAACAATCAATATTTCACCCTTTTACGCTATACAATTGTTTAAAAAATAACCTTATAAAACCTCAAAAACAACTAAATAACAACCTATATATCACACTTAACCCAACCTTAATAGTTTATAGTAAAAACTTGTTGTTTTTACACTTATTTTATGTTTGTTTGTCGCAAAAACCACTATAAACAGTTTGAATTATTTAATTTTTATTGTTTTTATCTCGTTCTAACTCAAAAAGAATGTATTTTCTGGAGGCTTTGGTAAAAACCACTACTATACCAGAAGTACTAAAAAGTTCATCATAAAATGTCACACACAAAACAAAAAGATAAGGTGTTTTTAACATTAAAAACTGTATTTTACTGCAAAAATATTGTTAATAAACGTTAAAAAAAATTAATTCGTGAGAATTGTTTTCAGAGAACTCACCAAACTAGCATATCTATCATATTTGTTTTATGATAGGTATACAGTGTGTGCGATTTAAGAGCGCAACACCCCATTATTTTGAAACGCTAACGCGTTAACACTGATCAGTCACTGATATTAATATATATATATATATATATATATATATATATATATATATATATATATATATATATATATATATTTTTTTTTTGGTACATAGTGGTCGATCAGGTCTATTTAACAATGTGGAATTTTTTTTAATTTTAATTTTTTCAAGATATGATAAATGGGTCGAAATTTATGAAATGACAATTGGACAATTTTTTTTCAAATAATAAATAGCGCATTCTATTTAGACGTGCCTCAAATACCTTTTCGTGAAGTTCGAGCTCAGCTTTGTATAAACTTATTTGAGGAAGCTACCCAGCAAACCAAATCATGTCACAGTGATATAACATTTACATAAAAATTGTTCCTTACTATGCAACAGCTATGTCACCTATATGTAATGGCAATGCTCCTATGTCCGCCTCAAGACGCCTTCCTGGGTATGTAACTGTGATGTAACAGTGTTTTATCATAGTTATGTAACTGTAATGTTACAGCGCCATATCAGTTATGTAACAGTGATATAACATTTACATAAAAATTGTTCCTTACTATGCAACAGCTATGTCACCTATATGTAATGGCGATGCTCCTATGTCCGCCTCAAGACGCCTTCCTGGGTATGTAACTGTGATGTAACAGTGTTTTATCATAGATATGTAACTGTAATGTTACAGCGCCATATCATAGTTATGTAAACGTGATAAAACAATTATGAAATATTTATAAATATAATTTCATGTAATATATTATCTTACTGGTATTAAAAATTGCTTAGCCCTAACTTGGTATTATGGAAATTTTTTAAAAAAAAATCAACAAAATTTTAAAATTGCCATAATACCAAATTAGAACGAAGAAATTGTTAATGCCAGTTAGATAATATATTAAATAGATTATAAATAAATATTACATAAATAATAAGTAAACATTACAAAAATAAATGATTCTGAAAGAGATTAAAAAAAAAACAAATTGGTTTAAATGTTTATTAAAAATTATTTTAATTAAAAAAAAAAACAAATCATTTCTTCTTTCGAACTTTCGAAAAGTTTTTCCAAACAAAAAAAAATCCCAAATACATTAATACTTCAAAGCTAAAAAATATATGGTAAAAAAGATAAAGCAATCCCATGAATTAAATATTAATATACCTTCTTTTCATGGGTTTTTTGCTTCCCTATAGGGTATACCAAATCTTTGTTTGGCCTGCCGGAACCATTCGGAAACTATGCCTTCAAAATTTTTGTCTGTCGAAGTGCACACAGCAGCTTAAAAAAATTTATTTAATAAAAAATCCCATAAAATTTACATTTTTACCCTTCAATATTTCAACAGATTTTAAATTTTGAATTTTATTGTTGTTTCTTAGCCCCAGCCAAGAGCAATCTTTTGCCAAATTATTTGAGAAGATTTTCTTTAAAACTCTTACTGTGGCATCTTTCTCTGAGACGCCTCCAATTTTTGTTATATACTGAAACTGAAAAAAAATACAATTTAATATTATTTTTGTTTATTGATTTGTTTTCAAAACAAAGAACAACTATTCTTTATAAACTACATATATGTACCCAGATAGCAAACGTGAATACGAAATCACGCGTGAGTGAATAATGTGTGCTATATGATTTCACACGTGAAGTCTTGAACTCGTAATTCACACGTGAGTAGATTATGAATTCATATTATAGTCTCGTGTGATTTAATCGATTTTATTTTAAAATACATGGATTGCATGATTAAAAACTGCACGTTTAAATATAAATAGAATATTAATATTCTAATATCAAAAATATTATATTAATATATTTTCATTTAATATTGTATGTCATTATAATAAATTATAATTATCTCTGGTAACACCCTCCCTTTCCCCATGTCAGAAGACATTTTCAGTCACAATCTTTATTTTAAATGTTTTAAAATACACAAATTAATTATTATATGTATTAATTATATATTAATAAGTGAGATATTGGTATACCCAAAATCCCCAATCTGCCACTGATATATATTATTATAATTATATATATTATAGTAATATATATAATTACATAATATATATTGGTTTAAAAGGTCACAATTATATGTTATAGGTACATTAATAATTAATATATGTATATTATATATTAATTAATTAATTAGTTAACCTTAAGGTTATAATTGTAATGTATAACCTATAAATGAGGAGCAATCAACCAAAACCAGATAAATCCATTTTGACTTCTTGAATGATTCATATTTCTTTTAGTCGGATAAATCAATTGGAAAAGTGAATTTCAAGATAAACTTATTATAATAATATATATATTATATACTAATATTAATATTAGTATATAATATATATATTATTATAATAAGTTTATCTTGAAATTCACTTTTCCAATTGATTTATCCGACTAAAAGAAATATGAATCATTCAAGAAGTCAAAATGGATTTATCTGGTTTTGGTTGATTGCTCCTCATTTATAGGTTATACATTATATATATATAATAATATATAATAATTATTATATAATATTAATATTATGATCATATCATATTATGATAACAAGTTTAGCTTGAAATAGATATTTCCAATGGATTTATCTGAACAAAAGAAATAGGAACCATTCAAAAAGTCGAAATGGATTTATCTGGTTTAGTCTGATTGCTTCTCAATTATGGCCTTTTAAACCAAGTTTTTGTGTATTTTTTTAAGGTGTTAAAATAAATATTTCGACAGATTAAATTATTTTGAAAAATGAAATCCATATTCTAAAAGCGCATGCGCAAAAAATAAAAAGTTCACGCGTGATGGCAAATTGAGCATCAATTGAGGACTCATCTGTCGCGTTATATGAATTCACGCGTGAATTTAATTTTCACGCGTGAATTCGTAGTGAATTCATAGTGAATTCATTTTGCTATCTGGGTAGTTATGTAAATGAAATTTGGTACAAATAATAATTTCTTTGATTTTATTTATTCAAGTCAAATGCACCCTGCAACCTTAAGAGATATAAAAATAATGAAAAATATGGAATTTGCATAAAATTAATTGTCACAACAATTATAATAAAAAAGTGTATCCATCTTGGTTATTTAGCAAAATTATTGTATCTTTTAAGTACCAGTTGAAAAAACAGTATAAAGTTAAAAAAAATATAGAAATGAAACTCTTATTTTGGCTACCAAATATCATTAAATTATAATTTGTCGCTTGTTTTTTAGCACCCTGTTTTAAAAACAAATTAACATTATTAAACAGGTTTAAAATCGCCCTTTATATACTTACAAATTCAGCCCCTACTTCTTTTTGCAATAATGTTTTCTCAAAACTTTTAACAGATCATTAATAAAAAGTTGACTAGGTAAGTATCTATTACACAAATCTTGCAAATCTTCCACAAAAGTATGGGAATTTTTCCTATGACCTCCTAAATATTCTCCCAAATTTTCTGTAAAAATATTTTTATTATATGTTTATTTATTGGCTGGTTAGGGAAAGATAATATATAAGTATACTTCGGTTTTAGCCTCAGTATATTCCACATTGTCTTGGGTATTTTCTATACAATTTCTTACCTCCACGCCCATTATTTTGAGATCTGCATTAATTCTCCTCCGCTTTTGCTTCCGGGATAGGGAAATATATTTTTTTCTATTTTTGTCTTCCATTTTATTATAAAAAAATGGAATCAAACTTAACTTAACTTAAAACACAATAGAGAGCACTCGACACAACCGTTTAAACGAGTTCGTTAGTAAGATAAAAAGGCCATATAAATACTATAAAACATTAATATATAACATTTATATATCATTGTTACAATGTAGGTATAAAACATTGTTATATAGCCATGACATAATAGGGATGTAAATATAACAAGAAGGGATCATTTTGATATAACTATTATATTAAAATTTTTTATTATAATTATGTAACAAAATAAAGAAAAACTATGTAAATACCATGGTATTTACATAGTTTTTCTATATGCATATAATACTATAAAACATTGCCATATATCAATGATGTATCATTGTTCCATTGTAGATATATAACATTGTTATATGGCTGATACATAAGGGGGATGTAAATATATTTTTATATATAACAAGAGGGGAACATATTTATATAAATGTTATATTACTATGTTTTATCATAATTATGTAACAAAATAAATAACTAATATGTAAATGTTATATAACATAATATGTAAACAATTTTATAACTAATATGTAAATGTTATATAACATATTATGTAAACAATTTTATATGGCAATGTTCTTTGTTAGTTATATAATGGTTATGTAAATGGAACAGCCTGGTTTGCTGGGTATGTTTCTACGTCTAAATCGAATGTGCTATAGCAGGTATCCATTTATAAAAAAAATTGCTTATAATTAGATCTTGGCAGGCCTTGAAGAAATGAAAATTTAAAATGTTTCCCAATTTACCTACCTACCATAACAATGTATCGTCGCCGGGCGTGCAATATCTCCAATGTGCAATATCCAAAATTTTACAGGAGAACTGATTGAATATTGGCGGTTTTTAAATCAAGCATAATATGATTTTAAATTGTAGATATTACAAAAATTTGTGCAATTGCACTTAAGCTCAGAAAAATATGTTAAGGCACAGAAAAATATGTTAATATCATAAACGAAATTTGTTTATTGTCACATTGGAGGTATACCTATATAATATATAATATATATTAATTCTCACAAAATGTCCCGATTTTTTTTGACAGAATCTGGTAACCCTGACTTATTAGAGTATTGGAGTATAGTATTACACTCAAGATTACATTATGTGTATTATGATGGTTTAAGTCTCTCGTCTGGCGACTCGAGACGCAACCATCACCCTCTCTCGTATAATAATATACTATTATTAAATATCGATTAATATCGTCGTCGGGCGTGCAATATATTATATATATGCGGCGCAGTCTGCGCATATTGTTCTGTGTTCTGCGCCTCATACTGAGTCTGATTTGCGTGTTATTATCATAGGTTATATTAATAGCAAATTAAAAATAATTATTAGCGTTACAATTGTTTCAAATGACTTTCCTTTATTTTAAAATATAAATTTATTAAGGTTAACCTTTTAAAAGATGTTGAAGAACGGTAAATGTCTAAAACCAGACTCAATTTTAAAATTTGTCTGTACATAAAAATCTATTTTTTTTTGGTTGCCCAAAATAGACTTTGGGCGTGACACCCAGAAATTTTTTTGCCAGCAGCTTTTTCTGTATATGGGCCCCTAGAGGGGCTGGCTACGCCACTGCGCTTTACGCAAGTGAAAGTCTAGACACCGCTGTTGTAATAAACGTTTTGAGTTAAATCCGAGTGAATCGAGTAAACGTCATGAACGCAACCCAGAAAAAAAAATCTTATATTTTGTAAAGCAAAAACACAGATACGCGCTCGACATAGGTTTAAAATCGCGAGGTTTTTTACCACAACCGTGCCTGAGCGCCCAAGAACATGTAGTTTTAAAGAGCCGGGGGCAATTGCCCAACTTAAGTTGGGGCAGCTAATTTATTGATGGCAACTCTAAGCTATTCAACGGATCTTGAACTGATGCCTTACAATTCATTACAATTTTTGTAGCTCCATATTGTTCTAAAAGCTCGATTCATAGTTTGCGATTTTAACAGACCGATCTTGTCGGTTACACTAGCCCGTTGTACAAGCAAAAACTACGAAAAACAAATATCTGAATTTTAGATACCTTGAAGATCACCCTTCATCAAACTGCATAACAATCGGACACACCAAACACAAGTTATTCACTTTTAAACAATAAACAATTTTTCGCAGTGATCGCGTGTAAAGTACCTTCAATTGAAAGCGTCAAGTTTAAACTGATGTACAAGACAAAATATACGTATTTTATATAATTTTTTTTAATACAGAATGGAGACAGGTATTAACTACCCATCTAACTCAAAATTTATCTGAAAAAAAATGTCAATTTTTGAGGTTTTGCCGATATTTTCCAGAATTGAAACACTGTGCGTGGGTCAAATGGTTAACCTCACTTTTTACCAATTTTAAATGTTATGTCGCCTTCTGAATATGAATATTGAAATCGGCCAAACACTGATGCCTAACAACGTGAATAATGAGTTCGTTATTCACTTTGTTAGGCAGGGAATTTATAATCTTTATCATTATTTATATAAAAAAACAATACTATGCAGTAGGAGTAGATGTTTGCATCATCCGATAAATAATGCGCATTATTTCGAGTGAGTAATTTTCATTGATTTTAAAGATCATAATAGTCGCTTCTCGTATATTTAAACAAATCTGACATCTGTTAACCTTAATTTTTTCCAATTAAAAACCCGATTGGTTCAAATAACAGTGAATATTGAAATCAGCCAATCACTGATGCCTAACAACGTGAATAATGAGTTTAATATTCCCGTTGTTAGGCCGGGCGGTTGTATTGGCTCCCATTATTTACGAAAAAACACAAATAATATCAATAATGTGCAATAGGAGTAGAAAATTATTATTTTTACTATTTATGACAAATTCAATGGTGCACACCTTTATAATCTGTGACGGCCACAACACAGAAATATTTTTATTTCTGTGGTTGGTAGCCATAGTCCGTCTCAGAGAAATGTCAATTAATTCTAACCTTAAAACTCAAGTTCTACGATTTTTGTTCAAATTTTTTGATGAGAGCCTCAGTTTGTTATAAAAATGGCAGAAATTGCGCCTGATGGCGACATTATAGGGATTAGAAATCTTTTGTGGGGTTCAGGCGATATTAGGGTGGAAATTTTCAAAAGATGGAGTCAAGGTGAGAATTTTATGTTATATTTTTTTGGCCTAATGTTGTGTTTTTTAGGTTTTTATTTTAGCGAGAATGAGAAAAGTGCTTTAGAACAGTCTGAGGGCGGGCCATGTGCTATCATAGCACCTGTACAGGCTTATATTTTGAAGAATTTTTTACTTGAAAATTCTAGTTTACAATTTAGAGAAAATGTTAGTAAAAACTGAGTAATGTTATAAATACTTAATAAACTATTTAATTTCTTAGGTTACGCCAGAAATGCAAAATTTATCGCTGGTGAACGCCTTAGTCGAAATCTTGGGACTGTGTAATGTACAAAAATACTACATGGTATATTTAAATGATGATTTTAATAAAAGTGATAAATCTGGTGATTTAGAAGAAAGTAATGTAGTTAAAATTGACCCTGTAGCGTTTCATAATAGTTTAGAAGTAGTGGAAATTCCCACCATGTTGGATGTACGAAAGTATTATATGTTACATATTAATAATCTGAAAAATCAGTATGGGATTTTGCTGTTTTTGTATTCTGTTATTTATACAAGGGTAAGTCTGAAAAAATTAAAATAGCCCTTTAGTGGCTGAAATGTTAACAAATGTTTTGAGGTTTTTTTTCATTTATTTTTTAATTTTATATGAAAGGGTAAGAAGCAAAAGGGTACAAGTGCCAAAAATGGAAGTGGGGTTATCAACATGCAGAACTTGTACAATTTTCATGTTATAAGAAAAAAATTTGGCTCTAAACTACCCAATTCTGCACCAACTTATTTTCTTGCTGAAATGCACTTGTACCCTTTTGCTTCTTACCCCTTCATACATGTTTTAAAATATTAAATTAAAAAGAATTATATTTTTTTAGGGTTTACAACAAGTAAAATCAGAATCTGACACAACAGATCCACTTATTGATGAAACTTATGGTTATGGTAGTCAATCATTAATAAATCTCATGATTACTGGACGAGCTACAACTTATGTTTGGGATCATGACCAAGATGTTGGTGGATTAAGTAAGAGAAAATAGTTATTTTCATAACAAGTGTGTTACATTTTTTCGCATGCTACTGCAATTGTAAACAGTAAATGCGCATGTGTTAAAAACATTTTTTTTTCTACAAGCAAGGAAATCTCACAATTTTTTATATCAGTTTCTATTTTTTTATATTTTTCCTTAGAGTGAGGAAAGTTGTTACTTATATTGAATTATTTTAGCAATATTTTGTGTTTTTAATTATAATTATTCCTGCTTATTACTTTTGCAGGTAGAAAAATATTTTTAAAAATCTTATTCTAAAAAATTTTAATTGTATTTTTTGTCAAAAACAGTTTCATAAGAGTTTTTGTCAAAACCAAATGTAAGAGTGTCAAAATCAAAAGATTGTCAAGAACGCCTTTTAAAATATTTTATACACATTTTTAAGAGTCAAAACCATATTTAAGAATGTCAAACTTACTTTGATTATCAAAAACACAATAGAGTAATTGCATCAAAAATGAAAATCCCTAAAAACCTTTTTAATGTAATCTAGAGGTAAAAACACATTGCGAAAATATTTTTTTATATTCCAAAAGTTCAACCCAGCCCCAAAATATCAAATTGAAAAAAAGGTACTTTTTAAACGTTCCCGAACTCCCGCCATATTGCATGACGTCATAAACCTACACCAATGTCAGAAATCAAGATGTCAACAAATAATAAACACCGATAAAGTTTATGTTTAACATGGAAAACGCGAAAACAAAAATTGGTTGTAAATATTGTTTTGTGCCTTGTTGTACAAATACAACCTGGGAAACTCCTGAGAAAAGGTTTATCACCGTGCCAAAAGGGAAAATAAGGATAAAGTGGATTAAAATAGCTCGGCGCGATATCAAAACATCGTCACCGCAGTCAACATTTTATTGCTGCGAGGATCATTTTAATGTAAGTAAAATATAATGTCGTTTACTAGGTATATGGTTGGAATAGGTATGTTAAATAATAATAAACTCAAGAAAATACGGCTGAGCCGTAACGGCTCTTAGTGTAGGGTCATAAACTTTGCTTTTGATAATTGAAGGGACAACTTTCCCAGGAGTTTTCCAGGTTGTATTTGTACAGGCACAAAACAATATTTACAACCAATTTTTGTTTTCGCGTTTTCCATGTTAAACATGTTAAACTTTATCGCTGTTTATTAGTGTTTATTATTTGTTGACATCTTGATTTCTGACACTGGTGTAGGTTTATGCCCGTCATGCAATATGGCGGGAGTTCGGAAACGTTTGAAAAGTACCTTTTTTCAATTTGATATTTTGGGGCCGGGTTGAACTTTTCGAATATAAAAAAATATTTTCACAATGTGTTTTTACCTCTAGATTACATTAAAAAGGTTTTTAGGGATTTTCAATTTTGATGCAATTACTCTATTTAGATATTAAAAACAAATTTGAGAAACTTTTTTAACTGTCAAATCTGGTTAAAATTATAATTAAGAATGTCAAAAACACAATTGAAAGCATTATAGGTACTTCTTTTTAATTGTACTGATTCAATTTTTAAACAAGTAGATTTTAGAATGTAAAAAGCAAATCATACAAAACCAACTTAAAAATATTAAAAACACATTTTAGAAGATGTTTTAAGTTAATTTTAACATCAAATATTCGTTTTTTACATTCTAAAATATGTTCTTGGTATTTTGAAATGTGTTTCTGACAATTGAAAACCTTATTTCATATTCTAAAATGTGCTTGTTGTAAGTAGGTACACTTTAGTATTGAAATGTTTTAACATATTTAGTACTTAGTTTTGGGTTTGAAGATTTTAGGGTTAAAATTATCTACCAAAAAATTCAATGAAATATGTTTGTTTTTTAATTTGATTTTGTATTATATTATTTATCAGGGCTTCAGGGTATTGAAAGGAAAAGTCAAGTAGGTTTTATCACAATCATGGAACACCTAAGATACTGCACAGTGGGCAGTTTTTACAAAAACCCTAACCATCCAGTCTGGGTTTTGGCTTCAGACACACATTTGACAGGTTGTTCTTTCAAAAACCAATAACTTATTTTTCAAAGTTAACATTTTTTCTTTAGTTCTTTTTAGCGATGACAAAAAACTTGTAGCTCCAGAAACAAAAAGTGAACAAGCTAGAAGAATATTCAAAAGTTATGACCCAGATGGCAATAACTTTATTAAAGGAAATATGCTGGGCGAGGTTTTGCAAGAACTGGAATTGGTCAGTGAAAAAGAATAGTAAGTTAAATTTTGGGAAAATAATCTCATGTTCTTTTTAAGACTTTAAAAAAAATACACACCTTTTTATTATTTTTCATATCTTAAAATATGGTATATTAGCATAAACTTTTTTTTTTAATATTTTCCAAAATATTTTAAAAACTAGCCAAGATATGAGCTGTCAAATGTTATCATATATTATAAAATATTATCTGGTTTATGATATAATTTGACAGCTATTATATGATATTACATGTCAAAAACTAGCCAAGATTTTTGATAAATTACACACAATATTTTGTCCAATATGTTAAATTTGAGTACTTGACAATTAATATAGGTATTAATATTATCACAAACTAGCGTTTTAAAGCGTCAGAAAAAATTGGGGAAAACTTGTTTTATTCGTGTGGAAAAAATGTATTTTTTAATTAAAAAATAGACAGGAGCATTTTTATGTTATTTATGAATAAATCCTTTATTTTTACTTCGTAAGGCCGTTAATAACTATTTTATATTCAATTTTTCCAAACAAATATATTTTTTTCGCACCTGCACGAAAACAATAGTTTTTTAAAGCCTTTAAATGTAAACCACCATTTTAAACGAAAAAATTGGGATATTTGCAGAAAAATTGACTTTTGCATTTTTTCCGTATTAAGGTAAATTTGTATGCATCGTTTGTCCGTTTTTCAATAAAATCGTCGGGCAAGACGTGTTCTAATTTTCATGCATCCGTTTTTTAATGACGTTTGACGGATTGTTTTGGCGCCAAATTGAAATAATGTAAACATAACCTTTATGATCTCTGCACATAACCTTACTTGTATTGTAAATATATAAGAGCGCTCCCGGATTATCGGATTAACGGACAAACGGATATATGAAAATTAAGCTTTATTCTTAGTACGAATTTTTAGAAAAATTGGGAAATTTTCCAATTCGTACTAAGAATAAAGTTTAATTTTCATGTATGGGGCAAAATTTACCAAATGTACTAGGTGAAAAAATTTTTGTCACCGATTTTGTTTAAACTTTACTTATTTGTTGTTCTTATAATGAAGAATCATAGCATAAATTTGTTTTGCTCTAGGATTGTTCATTCAAGAGTTATTGATTATTGAAATTTATAGATTTTTTACTTTTTGGTGAAATCGCTTTTTATTTAAAAATTCATAACTTCTGTTCATCTATTTATTAAATATTTCAATTTAACCTCCTTAAATGATTTTTTCCGTACTTTTCAATGGGCTATACCGTTTTTGCAAAAAAAACAAAAATTGCAATTTTTTTTTGAAATTATGCAAAATTTTGCATTTTTTAAAACAATGTGTATTTTTTAATTTTTTTTAAAATAGCATAAAATCCAAGTTTATTATGTTACCTTTGAATAAATAAAAAAAAAAATTAGAGTGGGCCCGACATGTAGAAGGGAAGTTTTTCATATTTGAATGCCGCACGGTCTAGCCATCGAATAGCTACTACACTGCCGTATGCGTTTATACCTAGTGGATGCGAGTAAACGAATACAAAATGATAATTTAAAATGTAAAATTATGTTTGAGTAGTCAATAATGTATTTTAAATATTTACACTGCCGCACGATATAGTTTTTTAACAGTATTTTTTTGCACAAATTGTTTAAGCATGGGTCTACATAGATTTCGCAAGGAGGATCGATGATATTAAATAAAAAATGTATTGTTATAACCGGCGCCTTTACGGTTATAACAATACATTTTTTATCATCGACCCTCCTTGCGAAATCTATGTAGACCCATGCTTAAACAATTTGTGCAAAAAAAATACAGTTTATATACAAAAGTGCTCTTTTAGTTCCACCCTTACTTCGTAAGAAGTCCCATAAGCCAACTGAATGGCTTGTGCGGGTTAGGGGTAGGAACGGACCGCGGGCTTAAAGTCCCCTCCGAAGGACTAATACACAATAAAAAAAAACTATATCGTGCGGCAGTGTAAATATTTAAAATACATCATTGACTACTCAAACATAATTTTACATTTTAAATTATCATTTTGTATTCGTTTACTCGCATCTACTAGGTATAAACGCATACGGCAGTGTAGTAGCTATTCGATGGCTAGACAGTGCGGCATTCAAATATGAAAAACTTCCCTTCTACATGTCGGGCCCACTCTAAATTTTTTTTTTATTCAAAGGTAACATAGTAAACTTGGATTTTATGCTATTTAAAAAAAAACTAAAAAATACACATTGTTTCAAAAAATGCAAAATTTTGCAAAATTTAAAAAAAAATTGCAATTTTTATTTTTTTCCAAAAACGGTATAGCCCATTGAAATGTACGGAAAAAATCATTTAAGGTGGTTAAATTGAAATATTTAATAAAGAGATGAACAGAAGTTATGAATTTTTAAATAAAAAGCTATTTCACCAAAAAGTAATAAATCGATAAATTTCAATAATCCATAACTCTTGAATGAACAATCCTAGAGCAAAAAAAATGTATGCTATGATTCTTCGTTATAAGAACAACAAATAAGTAAAGTTTAAACAAAATCGGTGACAAAATTTTTTTCACCTGGTACACTTGGCAAATTTTGCCCCGTATACGTTTGTCCGTTAGTTTGATAATCCGGGAGCGCTCTTATTGGTCCAATTATAATTCGAAAATTATGACATTTCATCGGTCCTTCAAGTTTCAACTTCGTACGTCTGATGGAGAAAGTTAAAATAATTTTAACTCATCCTTCAATACACTTTCGTTTTTGACGCCTGCCGTTATTTTAAGATAATTTATTTTTAAATTTTTTAATATTTTTTTATTATGATTGTAAAACGGAGTAATTTCGTTCGTGAATAATGTTTGACTGTTATGTCTTTATTTAATAAAAAAAGACAAACAAAAAATATTAAAACCAGAACTAAAAGTACCTGCATTTTCAAAACCATACATTTTAATGTATGTATGAAGGCTAGTATATTCTTTTTATATGGTATATTTACCTACCTTTAAATTTATAAGACAGATAAGTTACAGTTGTTGACATAATTGTAACTATGAAAATTAAGCATTAGGTAAATTAAGGGCCAGTATTCACCTTCCACTAAATTTACCCAATGCTTAATTGTCATAGTTACAATTGTGTCAACAATGGTAACTATGACAGTTAGTAAATTTAAAGGGAGGTGAATATACTGGCCCTAAGTGAAGTGAATATTCTGGCCTTTAATTTCTATTTGTCGCCAAATCAATCCGTTAAACGCCATTAAAAAACGGATGCATGATGATGATGCAAACGGATAACGGACAAACGAATACAAGAAAAATTAGATTAATACGGAAAAAAGGCAAACGTATTTTTTTTTTAAATTTCACAATTTTTTCGTTTTTTTTCCGCTGGCTCAATTTTTCCAAAAATGTTAACACTATCACAAACTAGACACATTTACATAACTATCTTTTGACAATATTTTCCAAATAATTAAAAAACTAGGCAAGATATAAACTTTCAAATTTTGTCAGTTTTTCAAGATTTTTAAAAGAGAACACACCTTTTTATTTTGTCTATATCTCAAAATTTTAGTTCTTTGACAATTATTGTATCAATATTATCCTAAACTAGATAATATTATCTATCTTTTGACGTAATATTTTTCAAAATTTGTTAAACACTATCTAGCAGATATAATCTGTCAAATGTTGTCAATATTCTAAGATTTTTGAAAAATTAAACACCTTTATATTTTGTCCAATATCTCAAAATTTAGGTTTTTTGACAATTAGTATATTAATATTTTCACAAACTAGATAACATTAATTAATTAATTACAGTATTGTGCGAATTAATGTGAACACAAATAGATTTACGTTAAATATTATTTATTGAAGAAAAAAAATTACAAACAGTACTAGTTTATAAATATTTTAGTAATATTTATTAGAGAATATATCCCCCTTTTGGCCTTTATTAAAGCTTTAACTTGTTTTGGCATAGAATTAATCAATGTTTTGCAATTTTCCTTTATTTTGTCATCTCAAAACCATACCTGAATGACAGCTTCAATAATCTTAGATTTTGTTGTATAATTCATTTTTAGCAACCTGTCCTTGCATGCCCACAAATTCTCAATAGGATTAATGTCCAGTGAGTTTACAGGCTAGTCTAGAAGGGTTACCTTTTTGTCCTAGTGTAAATTAGTCGCAATAACCGGCAAAATCACTGACATTAGCAATTACTTAATGCAGAATGATAGATTATGGGATATGTCAAGAAATCCTGTCAAAATTGTCACAGAAGTGTTAAAAGTAAAAATAATATAGAAATTCCTAATGTTCACATTAATTCGCACAATACTGTAATCTTTTAACATAACATTTTCCAAAATATGTCAAAAACTATCAAAATTTTGTCAATTTTTTAAGATGTTTAAAAAATTACACGCATTTATATTGTATTCTATATTCCTAATGTTCACATTAATTCGCACAATACTGTAATCTTTTAACATAATATTTTCCAAAATATGTCAAAAACTATCAAAATTTTGTCAATTTTTTAAGATGTTTAAAAAAATTACACGCATTTATATTTTATTCTATATCTCAAAAAATTAGTACTTTGATGAATTACCTACCCTTTCCAAAATATTTCAAAAACTAGGCAAGTAGTTTAATTTTCCCAATTTTCCAAGATTGTTAATAAAATTACACTCCTTTATACCGGGTGTATCTGAGAATCCATTAGAAGAAAATAAGATAGTTCAAAGCACTCTAGATTGATCTTTATGATGATACATTTTCTGATGACGAAACCGTCAAAAGGTCACTTTGAGGATACTATCTGACTCAGAACTTCCTCAGGATTCCAAATATTTAAAAATATATAGGGCATTCCTTTTAAAAATCGAAAGTTGGTATCATCAAGTTCAAAAAATTAATTTTGTACCCTTATAAGTGGCATTTTATATTCTAATTAACCATGCTAAATTTCATGTGTCTATCATTATAAATGAAAAAGTTACAGGGGTGCGCCTATTCTCAGATACACCCGGTATATTTTATATAAAAATTTTAGTACTTTGACAATTAATAGTATTAATTTAATACTATCATAAACAAGGTAAACTAACTTATCTCTTGACGTCATTTTTCCGTAATATGTCAAAAACTAGCCAAGATATAAGATGTCAAATTTTGAGAAAATAATCTTTTGAAAATCTGATGTTTTTTACAGTGTGGAAATAATGAGAAAAAAATTGGATGAAGAATGTTTAGGAATAATTTTACTTGACGCTTTTATGCAAGAATTTTTCCCCAAAGAAGAAACCAGTACCCCTGATATGTTTACATTAGTACATTACAATGGTTTAGCTCAAAGTAACATTAGTGGACTGGTAAGTAAAATAAAAAAAACTTATTTTTTTATAGAAGTTATTTTTTTATCATAAAAAATTATATGTCCGGAAAATAAGTGTACAACAAAATACCATAAATTTTTAAAATTAAGTCGATTTAACCTATTGTATTCAAAGTTTCTTCGTTTCCCCCTACATGTTTTTTTTTTTCTAAAAAAAAAGGATTCAATATCTTTTTAGCGGCTAAACGAAGAAACTTCATATAATATAACCATAAACTATAAATTGAATTATTAATTATTAAATTCTATGGAATTTTTATGTTACATGTATTTTTTGGACGAATACAAATAAAAAAAATGTACTCAGGTTCAGTACCATGTTGGATCCGCCATTTTGCTGGAATCCGACCTGAAGTCCATATGCGAGTCCAACCCAATGTTGACAGTGTTGCAAACCAAATGGCCAAACATTGAAGTGAACTGGTGTAATAACATCACCCCGTCTCTAAATTAGTATATTTTATATGAATTTTTGTCTCTTCTTTTTATGTTATTTTAGTATTTTTTTTAAATAAAAATATGATGATTATCACAATTATATATGAATTATTAAGTGCAGGGCCTAAAACTACCAAATATCAATGATTTTTTGAATAAATCATGTGATAGTTATTGAGCATTTAACTAATTTTTACCATATTTTTTGTTTAATAATAATAATGATAATAATAATTAAATTTGGTATTAATTTAATTATGACTGGTCTTTTAATTTTTCTTTCTTTAATTATTGTTTAAATGTAAATTATGAATATATTAGATATAAATGCTAGTAATTTTAAGAAAACCTATTTGATAAAAATTTTATAAAATTCCAAGTACAAAAAAGTTAATAAGCAAATTTTGTTTTTTGTTAAGCTTAAAAAATGTATTTAAAAACAATAATAATAATACGTTACTATTGAAAAAATAAAAGTGTTTTTTTAGTAAACCTTTTTTTAATTTCTAGTTTTTAATTTGTGGGAGTTTTTATTGCCTGTTTTCAGCAGTGACATCTATGGATAACTCTATGGATAAATAGTTTTGTCCCAGAACTTGGGACAAAGTAAGCTATTGTTAAACAATTGTTAATATTGTTGACAACTGTAATAAACAATAATTTACAGCTATTTTTAACACACACTATTACTTAAATAAATATGAAAATTTCATATTTAATATGAAACATTTTTTAAATATTCAAATTAAATTTTAAAGGCAAATAGGTAATATTAAAAAACTTGACCTTTAATAGATACCTAATTGCATTTTTTACTATTAAATCATGGTTTTAGTGAGTTAAGTGCATACTGTGTTTTTGGAATTAAATTTAAAAGGCAAATAATCCAAAAAATACTATAAAGTTGTATAATCGCCATTTTAGTTACGAGTTTAATTAACCCTGGAGTGGTGGCGCCGAGTCTGTGAGGCTCGAGCGTTTTAAGATCGCATGGGAAAAGGGCAGAGGTGCAGATCAGTGGCGTAGCTAGCCTAGAGGGGGCCCCGTATCAAAAATCTGGTAGGCAAAGCAATCGAATCAAATATAAAATATTATTAAAAATTAAAATAAATAATTTTTATAACCATTTATGTAGGTGTTCCAAAATATGATTATATCCTCCGTGAATCTGTCGTATTATGCGTGCGTAGTTAGGTCTAATTTGTGATTATTAGTGCAAAGTGGAAACAAACGATTAACAGGTAAGGACGAATAAATATTATAAAGACGTGTTTATATCATACAGGGTGTTTCGGTTTGTTTAAGTAAATAATTACGACAAAAAAACGTGATTGTGCGTGAATAAAATTATTCAAACGTGATTTTGCGTGAACGTGAGTAGTCTTAAATTATTAAGCCTCGTACAGACTTGAGCATTGAGCCGAACAACAAGCCGAACAACGAACCGAACGGCAAACAGAACACTAATTTGGACGGGGCTGCGAACGCGTTTGCGAACATGTTCGCGAATCCTGACCGTTCGGCGAACGGTTCGCCCCGTTCCCATCACTTGTCGGTTTTTCCTTCGACATCAAAGGAAATGCTCGCGAATGCGTTCGGAGGTTTGGACGGGTGAAAACAAAACGGCGAACAGACCAGTGAATTGTTCTCATTTAAGTGTTTATTTGTCTCCTCCTTTAAGTGAGTTTGTTTATTTTAATATATAAGAAAAATCTCTGGATCTAATTGATATTTATCAAAACAAAAGAGTTGTTGTGGAAACCAAAACACCCACACCATTTTAATAAAATTAAAAAACAAGATGCTTGGGAGGAGATTGCGCAAATAATAAATACTCAAAGTCGGTAGGTGTCATCCTCGTAAAATTTTTGTAATGCCCACTCACAGCTTGAAACTTTAATTCACTTACTAAATTGAAATTTGTCGTACTTCTTTGTGTATAAAAATGTGTTTGCCACCATCTTCTAGTTTCAGCTGCTGCTGCTACCAGTGGCGTAACAAATTCTGAGTGGGCTCCCCCGCAAACGATTTTAATGGGCCCCCTTTACAATGAGTAAAAAGTTTATTATTACCTTTAGGTGATTTTTAAATTAGTTTATCATAGTACTTTTAAACCCACATTAAATACATAATATTTTTTAGTTAAAATTTTTGACAGGTAGATAAATAGTGTATACGATAGACAGGCATAACTTATGTCACATAAGATAAGCAAATAAAAAAGGATTAGGTAAGAAAAATGGCTGTGTTTTTAATAAAAACTGTTTATCAAGAATATGCTTCTTTGCAAATTCGCACATGCGTAAAAACCTATTTAAGTTCATGTGTAGTTATCGTTTGTTAACAGAATTATAATTACCTATATTATATATAGGCTATATAATAAACCCGTAGCCAGCCGTAGGGCCCGACGGGCCCGCCCCCCCCCGAAATTCCGTGAACCCTAAAATTTTCATAAATATGTGAATCCGGTTTTAAAAATATGTCTATCGATAACAAGCCATATTTTTTATGACAACTTCACGCTTTACTGGTATTTATCCATCAACCATTTCCGCCCCCCCTTCCACCCAAAAAATTATTACTACGTTTTGGGCCCCCCCCAAACCAAATGTTTGGCTACGGGCCTGTAATAAACAGAAAATATTTGGGTAATTATTATTTCAATATTTTTTTAAAAGAATCCCAATGAGATATATATTATAGAATTACGAAAATGATCTGCAAATAAAAAGGTATATATAATAAGATTTTTTAAACTAAAATTAATTAAATATTTTCTGTTTAACTACCTACCAAAAATTTTTGGTAGTTAAACAGAAAATATATAATTAATTTTGGTTGCCTCTTTATCCACCCATGGTAATTCTATATAGTTAATATTTTGTCGTATTGCATTTAATTTAATTTTTTTTAAATTGTTAAATTTTAAATATTTTTAACAAATAATGTTTGCATAACTTTCAAACCAAATAACCATAGAATTAAAATATAACAAATAACATTGTTAATTTAGCAAATATTAACATTTGGAAAAGCGTTTAATAAATATTGTAAACAAAAAATACTTATACGTTTAGGTTTTTAGGATTTTTATTTTTTTTAAGATGAAATATTTGAAAAATTAAATATTTCTTTAATTTATTGGTTTAAACTTTTAAAGAGTGAGGTGAGCCTTGGGCCCCCTGACCGTTTGGGCCCCCCCGCGGTGCGGGGTCTGCGGGGGTGCTTATTACGCCACTGGCTGCTACACTTTTTTCCATCTTTAGTAAAACTTTAACTGAGATTTACTACGAGCAATTATGGGAACAGCAAGAACGTTCCGTTTGTTGTTCGGATCGTCGAAATCAAAAAAGGCCATTTGCCGTTCTGTTTGCCGTTCGGTTCGTTGTTCTGCTTGTTGTTCGGCTCAATGTTCAGGTCTGTACGAAGCTTTACAGTCGTAAATCGTGAACAATCGTGATTCGGGAGTAGTCGTGAGCGGTAGTGAGCAGTCGTAAATCTTGGGCGGTCGTGAATCGAGAGTTTGGAACCTCCCATCATTACTCCCTTAAGGGAGGAATATTTTTTTTCTAGATGGATGTTGAACCAGCTAACAAAAGTTAACAAAACAACAAGTTATCGGTTTTTGAAATACAGCGATTTTAAGAAAAATGCTTCAACTTTTATATATTTTAACAGAGTTTGAATCTATTACCGTTTAGAAGTTACCCATGGGTAATGCATTTATGTATATAAAAAAGTAGCCTCCCTGGATGTCTACTCTACTAAAAAAGGTGGTTTAAGTTTTTATTTTTATTGTCTACTATGTATATACTCAAAAAATGTGTTTTAAGTTTTTATTTTGTTTGTAAGTGAAAATAAATCGTTTTAAATTTTTAACATAGTGGTTTATTATTATCTGTATCTACAATAGATTAATAATATCAGTATCATTAATACCATAAAATTATTATTAACATTTAAAAAATCGTTGTATTGACTTAGGGGCCGTCCATAAATGATGTCACACACTTAGGGGGGAGGGGGGGTCGTCGAAAATGTGACAGTTTGTGACAGCCGGGGGGGGGGGGGTTTGGGAGGTTGTGATGTCACAAAATTATAAAAATATTTTGGATATTAAGATTTTATTTTAAGCAAAAATTTCGTGGGGTAGACCTTAAAAAAAATTAAATCAGTGTGACGTGACGCCAATGGGGAGGGGGGGGGTCCCATAATTTGTGACACTTTGTGACAAAGGGGGGAGGGGGGGTCAAAAATCTTTAAAAAAAGTGTGACATCATTTATGGACGGCCCCTTAAGGGTAATTATTTTGATTTAAATCACAATTTTTGATTCAAGTCATTTTATTGACTTAACTCTTAGATCACAATTTAAATAAAAAATATAGACTTAAGTCATAAAAACGACTTACTAAAGAAATTAAGTAATAAAATGACTTAAATCACTTTATATTGTTTTAAGAATTTGCGAAAATGACTTGACTTGAAAGAAAATGATTTAATTCAAAGACTTAATACTTAAATCATTTGAAGTTTATCTTGGAATTGACTTAAGATTTAAATCATTTTGATTTTAGAATTGACTTAAGACTTAAGATTTAAGTCTTTTTAAAACTGACTTGTTGCAGCTGTGATGGGGCCCAATTAGTTTATTGCCATGTCAATAATTCCGGACCATACACTGAGAGAAAAAGTATGTTAATTTAACTGTTTTTAACTTAAACCAACCGTTTTTTGCGATTAAATACATTCAAATGTTTTAATCGGTTCATTAAAATAATTGAAAACGTTAACTTTTTTTTATTAAATCAAAGCTTTACATGTTTTAAACAACTTACGAAAAATTTTATTGTAAAAACTACAAAATGTTAAATAAACATACGTTTAGTTTAACTTATCCATAGTTATTAATTATATTAAATAGAATCAATTGTTAATTGGAATGACTTTTATTTTAAAACAATCTTGTTAAAAGTGTTTAACCAAAAACTTTAAACTAACTTCGATTTGAAATTTAAATCAATAATTTTGGATGGTTGAATTAATCATCCAAGATCGTTAAATTTACCATCTCCGGGGATTGAATTAAACACCTCTGGTGGTTGAATTAATTGTTAATGGAATGACTTTTATGTTAAAACAATCATCTTAGGTGGTTAACCACCATGGTAAATTTAAGCATCTCAGATGATTTATTCAATTG